ATCATCAACCTCAGGGGCCAGTGCACAGTCACTGTGAGGCAAACCCAGGAGAAATCAGGAAAAATGAGGTAACAACATCATTTTGGAGGGAATGGGCAAAAAACAATGCCTGACCTTGCCTAGACTTAGGAAAAAAACCAGCTGCAGACCTACAGCAGCCATAAAACGAGCCTGAACTAAAATGTATGAGCTGATATTACAGGGAATAACCCCTAAGAGGTGGAAGGCTTTGATAGACGTGCTCCTACAGGTAGCTTCAATCCCTGGCAGCTGCAAGGCTTCAATAATGAATGTCAGACTGCTGGCCAGCTGCGAGGGGAATAAACATCTATTTGCCTTCAGTGGAAGCAGCATCAGTTTGACACATGACATTCAAATGATATGAACTTTAAAAGAGTGGTTTAAATGACTGCTGTTTGACTTGAAACCTCAAATTCACTGAAGCAGCATTGCAGCCGTTTACCTTAGCTCTGTGGGGGATTGAATTGCTGGGCTTGGAAATGAAAGATCAAAGTGTTTCTGCAATTTCAGCCCAGGCTATGTCGTGTGTCCAGCTGATAGTGTTCGTGTGCCTGAGTAAAGACGGGTTCTCCCGTTGCTGTGTCCTCCGACACTGCTGATGACTTCTGCTGGCACGTGTGGGACTGAGGAGCTACCAAGGTGTCTCTGAGAGACAGGCAGGTGGGGAGAGGCTGGGGGGGATGAAATCTGGGGCCATGGGATGGAATGGGGTGAGAAAGTGGGGGTCATTCCCACCTAGCATCATCCAATGGTCCAGCACCCCTTCTCCTGGCATTCTCTACCTCCTCCACGCTGGTGGGCTCCTCTTTGAGGCTTTTCTGCATTTTGCCTTGCAGGATGCCAGCCCAGCCTGCACCATGTCCGTCACCAGCTCGTGTTTGAGTTGTCCAAGAAACGAGCGCTGACAAGAATTTATCTCTCTATTTTAGGAGACCTTGTTATGCACTTGTTACATTAGCCTGTCAGCTTAATACCAGCAGTCATAACACTTTTATAACATACCTGCTGAAGTGCTTTTGCTTGCAATCCTCACACTAAGACAAGAGCTCAGGACCAAAGCTGCTGCAGGGAAAAATCACTGCTTCCTGACCTTTGGGTAGACCCTGTGGGCTGATTATTCCATTGATTTTAACTGAATTGAGCATTCAATAACAGTGTCTGGAGGCCTGTCTCTCTTCAGCAGCAGGTCCAGTACAGCACCAGTGGCAATAATACGGACAACTTCTACACAAGCCTGGGTCAGGGTCAGGAAAGCTCCAAGTGTCTTGCAAATTGTGGCAGGCATGACCGCTGTACCCAGGAATGGCCCAGGGACCTCCCGCTCACCAGCTCGCACAGCCAGGGGAGAGACCCGAGACCCAGCGAAGCACTCGAGGACATTCAGCCCGGCAGCGATACCACTTCAACGAGGGAGAACCACGCTAAGTGCAAGGGGGTGCTCTTGCTTGAAGCCAGCCTAAATAATTGAAGCACGAGGGAACGGGGCCAGATTTAAACGATGCAACTTGATGGTGGACTGCCCTTACAGAAGGAGCTATTGCTAAGCTGAAGCTATGTTTGCATTAGGAAGCCTTGCTGTGCTGTAGGAGGGGGATACGCAGGGCAAAGGAGTTGGTGCTCAGGGCCCTATATTCATCCTCTGTGTTTTTTAGGGGAAATAGAGGACTTGCTTCAAGCTGCCAGCAGCTGGAGCACGTTAGACGAGCTCCTGAAGCGCTTCTGCTTTAGTGTCATCCGAAAGGAAATTTGTTTGCTCACTCTGTGACCTGGCTGTGATCTGAATCAAAGCATGGCGTAAGGCGGATGCGTGCCAAAGCTCCTATTGCCTAGCTGTTATTAATTTAAAAAAAAATTTTACTTGCAGGTAAACTGAGGCACACAGCTTTTGAAGAGCAGAACACTATTTCCTTCTAGCTACCGGGACATGGTCCATGCTCATTACCTCTGGAAATCATGCCAGAAAGGGCTCACGCAGAACAACCCCCACATAGCTGCTCAGTTAGGAATAAAGACAAGAAATGTTGTGCTGTGCCTGCTGGAAGACTCGGTGGCTGAGTGATTCCCCATTCTAACGTCCCCCGCAGTCACTCCACAAAGCCAAAACCTGATAGCAAACCTCCCTCCAAACCTCCAAGACAAGGAGGAAAGGGCGAAGATGTGCACTTTCTGCTCTTAAGCATGACCGAACTCAGTGAAGTGAAGATGAGATTTGGCACAGCTCAGCATCATTTTGTCCCTTGCCAGAGTCCCGCGCAGGTGCCGGGAGATCGAGCTGTGCTGGGTGTTTGCCGGTCGGTCTCACCGCGGGTACGTTGGCTCTGCTGGTCGCAGCAGCCCGCTCGCCCGCTCCATCGGCGCGGGGTGCCAGCTGATGAAGATGCCTTTGAGCAGAGATGAGAGAGGCTGAAATCCTTTGACACCTGCAAGTGAACTGTATATTACCAAAATGTTAAGCAGCTTTGTGAGAGAGATTATCCCGAAGGATGTTTTCCGTAGCGTTGACATTTGTATGCGAGTCATTCATTCCAACACAGGCATGGAGTAGGGAGGCAAAATCCTTCCCTTGCTGCCACCGGACAAGCTATGCCCTTTGCTCTAGCGAGGTTATTAATTCATCCCTGACCTGTGACACTGCGTGTGACTTTGTCACCCTCATCTTCTCGGTCACCTCTCAAGGCAGAGACCTGAGGATTTTCCGTGCCCCTTTTTGTGCGCCACTGCGATGGTGCAGGCAGTTCTCGGCTGTTTGTTTTCCAGGGCTTTGACTGCTTCTATATTTTGTCGTTCTCCCCTGAGATGTGCCATCACAGTCAAACACAGTGCCATGGCTTTAAAAAAGGGGACAGTAACAGCTGAAAATGAAGATGAATTGTCACTTTTGTACATTGGTGGCAGAAGGGAGCTGCACTGCTGCAGGTTACGAAGGCAGAGAGGGAAGCTGTGACTGCCTGAGCTGCTGGGAATTTTCTAACCCTTTCAGCCAGCTCATCGGTGACTCTCTAGAGAAGCAGCCTTACTTTTCCCCTTATACTTCCAGGCAAGGGTGTCTTTCACCGGGGAATTTAATCTGCTGCAGAAAGATTATTATGTCTCTTTTGGAGTTTCACTCAATTCCTCAAAAATGTAGAAAGAAAATATAAAAAGAATATCTAATAATATATACAATCTATCTATCTATCTAAGAATATAAAAGAAATATAAAAACCTGCTGTCTAGTTACTAAAGTTCCTCAGCCCAATTTTGCAATGGAAACCACTTCATGGCATCAATGGCTCTGCTCAGCCATTTATTTTGGACTGGGCTATCTTAAATTCCACATTTCCAGCAGCAGTTCTTACTCCTGACGATACACATGGGGTAATGCCTCGGGTTCGTTCCAGATGTAATGAGTTTTCATCCTCCAGGAATGCAAGCAGCATTACACATGGTAGTGACTGGGTTAGATATATATGCACATGCAAGTATTTCACCCAGTGCTGAAATCTGACAGCTTGGAAGCAGGAGACATCCTCCCGTGGAAGGGTACACTGAGGCAGGTGCATGAAGTGTTTAGGAGAGAGCGTGGAGAGCACTTTGAAGCCTGCGTGAACTCAGCTGGTTGCAGCATGGAGCAGATGCTGGAATCAAATCCCTCTGCTTTCACACAAACGTTGGCTGAGATTTTCAAGGCCGCACCCTCAGGACTTTGTGGTGCTACAAGGTGACGGTGGCAGAATGAACTGCAAAAGAGGAGGACTTCTGTCTCTGCGGCACTGATTTCTGAGGCGGAGGGACTTGCTTTGAGAACCCCACCAAAGAAGTGAGGAAGCCCAGCTGGGAGAGGGGATGAGACCACATGGTTGTCTGGCTAATGGCTTATGAGACTTGCAGATGGATTCACTTCTGTATAGAGGAAAGTCTCGGAGACTGGCATCAATTGGTTACAGAAGAGGTAAGTGAGCTTTTTATTGCAGTTAGCCCTCCAGTAGCCCTTTCTGGAGGATATGAAATGTGAGCATACAGGTCTTCTAGAATCTACAAAAATTACAAAGTCTAGCAAAACTTTCCAGCTCTCAATAGCCAAAGACAACACCTTTCTTTCAAACTAGGGTTCTCTGGGACATCTGAAGGCTCTCAGTGCTTCACCCTGCATCATAGTTAATTCAGTTAAGTTGGTCTTACAATGGCCTAATATAAATCAGAGACTAAAAGGTGTCATGACAACAGTATAGATGATGCCTGTGTTGACAATCCCTTCCAGGGGAGATGGCTGCACGCCCATGGTAAAATAAGAAAACAATCAGGAAACACATGCTGGGCACTTCTCTCCCACTCCGCAAATCTTCAGTCATTAGGGGTAGCTGCATGTCTCTGGGCTCCTCCAGTTAACTCATCCGCAACCTGAATCACGCAAAAGCCATCTAAAATTACAAGGAAATCTAAATAAATCAGCATCAGAAAATCTGCTGCAGGCGTTCATTCCTGCAAGGATGTGACCACTTTAACACTTGTCAGGGTCACAGCACACAGCTGAGGAAATAGCCCTGGACAACTCTGCATTCCCAGGAGAACAAAGCCAGAAGACGTACAGAGTCACCCAGCAGGCAGTAGGAACAGGAGCAATGGCAGCATTACTTAACTATGTGCAATTTGCTCTCCCTATCTTGATTTAAATTACACTGCCAGAAGAGACTGACAGTGTCTGGAATCAAATTGCTCAGAAAAGAGCCTCTTCAGAGAGACAGAAAAAAATGCCCAAATAACTTGAGTGCAAATGGTCTTGCAAAATGCCTATTGTGATTGGGAACACTGGGATCTGGGGCTAGTTTTCATTAGGATAATGCTCATGTAATTATGCAGGGCCAAACCCCTAACGCCCTGCTGTGAAGTGGGGCTTTGCACCACTGGCGTTTCCACAGCGCACACATCAGTCTGGGTCTCCTCTCCAGAGTTAGAGGAGGCACCATTGAACAAGAGTCTCTGATCTGTTCCTGCTTCCTTCACTTGTCCCCATCAGCATGGGCTCTGGGGACCATCTTCAGGACGATGGGTTTCTTTGGTTGCAGGAAACTTCTCGAGTCCAGAACCAGTGGGATCTTGAGCAGGAGGGGAAAAAAACCAAAATAGCCATGTAAGCTGGGTCAAAGGACAGTCATGACACAGACAGGACTCCTACAGTCCACATACGTCTCAGACACCCCTTGTTTTCAATGCATTTTCTAACTTGCAGATGTATCAGTATAACTTGCAGATAGTCCTTAGAGCAGGACTATCACCACTGCTCATGTGAACCTGCTGTGAGCTGGGATTTAATAGCCCTCAGCTCTTGAATAAACTAGTTAGTGAATTCTGGCTTTCACATGGCATGCTAGGAAGAGCTTCACCGATCAACAGGCTGCACATGGAGGAAAAACCAGCCAAAATCCATCCGGGGAGCTGCAGCTAAGGAGGGGTACGCACTGCCATTTTGTGTAGTGCTGAAATGTGTCAGCGCCAAGGGGAGCTAGATCGTGATGGAAGCTGGAGGAGCAATAAGCTCTCTAGGAAGGATGAAACTAAGATTGTTGCATGGACCGAGTACGAAAGAAAAAGTGTCCTCACACAGAAAAGCGATGGGCTCCCTTGGGGTGGGATGGAAATTTCAATAAAAATAACATTTAAAACTGGTGTTAGAGGGAGTCGTCTTCTAGAGGATGGAAGAGTGTTTTACCAAGTCTCCTCCATCAACTCGATGCTGCTCGTATCCCAGGTGTCCTTCTCCCCCTCAGGACGAGGGTAATGCACCCCCAGCCTGACAAGCTACATTAAAATCCCCATATCCCAGTAAGCTTTGTTTCAGGAAATTTAAGTGTTGTGGCTCAGAGCCCGATGTGTCATCAGTGGAGGAGTGAGGGGAGGCTGCAGTTTCCATACACATATTCCAAAGGGATGTTCCGGCATGAATTTTTCCCTCCCGCTCTGATCTGATGTACACGACATCTTCTGTAGTAAAAAGGGCTGAAAGAGCCCCATAAACCTATGGGCACCAATAATACAATACATATTTAACTTGTCTCCTTTTAATTAAAGGCTGTTATAAAAAGAATCAATTTTATGGATTGCAGAGGACTAGAAAAATGTCATTAGACTTGGGGGAGGGTGGATAGGTCACTGCATTGTTAATGGACTATTACAATCTTTCACCTCCAGGTTACTAGTTGAGTTGCAATCTGAATCTGCAGAGATTCCAGCTGAGCACCCGTGCCAAGTAATAACTTAATAAGGATTTTTCTGTTTCTTACAACATATGTCCTTTGAATACACTTGCTGCCCCCACTGCTCTGATTTCTCAAGCTCGCCTCGTGAAGGAAATGCATTAACGGCAATGCCTTCGCGGCAGTCTATGCAGAAAGCCGGGTTGGGGTTGGAAGCTGACAGCAAACGTCATGCTACCTGCCTCTGAGTCATAGGGAGCTGCTGTGTTTTCAGAAGGGCTTCCTTGACACAGAATTTCCAACAGGCATCGCATTTACTGCGTGTCAGCCAGCCCCGTCTTGCAGGGCTTGACCCATCAGCACTGCATGTGGCATCCACGGGGATCCTGGGCAAAACCAAAACCTGGTGGGATCCTGCTTAGCCTCAAAGGCGGAGAGGGTCGCCAATTCAAATTTAGCTCAGACAGCCCTTGCTTGAAAACTGTTACTTTTTGGAGACTGCCTGGTGGCCCATAAGCGACGGATTTTGGTGTCTTGGGATCTCTGACAGAGAACAGCCATCTTTGTGCTGCAAAGCACAGCCTCAGGGCGGGCTGGGTGGGCTGGGGGGTATTGCCTTTCTGCTCTCTGGAGCAGGGTCTTCCTAAGCTGGGTGAAGGCAGACAGACTGGCAATGCACCTTGGGGGAGCGAGCATGTCACAGCTCAGGTGCACCCAAAGAGGGGGAGAGGACTTCAGGGATTTCAGCTTGACATATTCCACCATAAATTTGCTTCTGTAGAGGCTTAAAAAAAATGTACCAGTAACTTGTGGTGAACCATTTAAATTAACTGAGAAGATGATTGAAACACAGTAATTCCCATCTGCCTCTCTAATCCACAGCAAAATCTTCCTCCCTTGTCTCTGTGTGAAGTAGTAAAACCCAAGTCTGCAGGCAAGGTTCAGTGGTCTCTGAGCTCCTTGGGGAAGCAAGGTATTTAATGTTCATGTGAGACGGTTCCCTGTTTGTCCTGAGATGTGGTCAAAAGAGAGTGCACAGGACCGTCTAAGTGGGACTCAAGGGCAGCTAATCAAACACATCATCCCATGTCCTCACCGGAGTGTCTTTGCAGGTTCTGAACGAGAAGTTTTGCAACAGGACGACCACAGCCACTTTCACAACGAGGAGAGCAAACCTCATTCCTATGCAGTTCCTGGGGCCAGCCCCAAACGGCAGGAAGGTGTAGGGGTCAATAGGCTCTCGGCTGTCTTTAGAGAACCTGATTACAAAAACAAAAAAGAAGTTAGAAAGAGCTACTCTTCCAGGATGTGTCAGCTTTCAGTGATGAGGTGTCTGGGAAGGCAAAAGTTTTCAACGTTTCTGTGCATATTAGAAGAACCCAGCAAAGTCCCTTATTTCTGTTGCAATAGATACCTCATGCTTGTATCCTGCTGCTTGGAGTTGGCTGTGTATCTCCAGGTGCATCAGGTGAGCAGGGAACACCTGAAAGATGCTAATGGATTTCATAACTGTTCTTTTCTCAGAACTCTCTCTCAGCTCAAAAACTGAACCCAGATTTCAAACCCTAAACCACACAGGTCTCCAGCTTCACATCTTCCCTTTGGATCAAAGGACTGAGCCAACACAAAGACATTCTCCCCCTGCGTGACTAAAGGGAGCTGCTTTTGAGATAAGCCAGCCATTCCTCTCCTTGTCATGAAAAACAAGGAAGAACAATCAGCTTCACAGAGAAATTTGCCACTGAGCATTCCCAGTGATACTTCTTAGTGATCAATTAGTTTCATGTTAGAAAGCTTTTCATTCCTGGTGCATGAGGTCCAGGCACAAACCTCAGCCTTGCTATGTCAGCAGTGAAGTATCTCGCTACTGAGACACCAGCACATCCCTCTGATGAACTCCCAGCAAGGCAAGCAATCCCTAAAGAGCCCCTGTCCAGCTACCCATGCCCAGTTTGCCAACTGGAGTAAGGATGCAGCTACTGGAGCAACTGCTGTAACCTGCCCATTGCCAGAGTACTCCCATCTGAGTGGCTCCTTCAGCATTCAACATGAGGTGACCATAGGAGTCCATAGCCAATTTCAACGGCACACGTCTCCCTCCCTAACTTCTGCTTGATATTGCTGCCATGTTTTGTCCCAAAGGTCACCACATCTCCACACCGGAGTTAGCCTCCAGGGGTATTTCAGCTCCTGGTGCAAGGGTATAGATCTGGTCCTGCTCTCTCTGAACCAGCCCTCAACATCTTTGCGGCCACCTGAGGACTAGCAGGTCCCAGGTCTGCCTTGGGCTGTTGTCCCATTTTGCAGGGTCTGACAGAGACTCCTAAGCAAGGATTGTTTCAAAACTTCAGTTGAAAAATTAAGTTTTATTTCCCACCCATCTTTGCCCTTCCACTGTTGATTTGCACGGCATCGTGCCAGTCACCCAGTGGCTCTTGTTTTAATATCTGGCCATAAACCCCTCAGTGTTACAGCTGCTGGGAGCTGCTCTCACTGTCGGTCCCTTCAATGCAGTTAATTAAATTCCATGCACAGTTTATGGATGTAGATCATAAAACTCCCCTCACGGTAATGCTGGGACTAGATGTCAGACAATGATAAATGCCTAATTTAAATGTTATAATCATGCATTCGCCACTTTTTCTGCCATTTCCACTCCCAGGGCTGAGGTTGAGTGTGCAGCTATTCCCCCCGCCTGGCCCTCACCTCTCAGGCCTGAACTCCTCTGGCTCCGGCCAGTACCCCGGGTCACGATGCAGCACGTAGGCTGGGATCATGACCACCATGCTCTTTGGAATAGTCACACTGTTGAGCTCCACTGTCTTTTTGCAGACCCTCTCAATCCGGCCCACGGGGGGGAAGAGACGGAGGGATTCATTCACCACCATATCAAGGTACTCCATCTGCATGACGGCGTTGTACGTGGGAGTAGCCTGGGGAGAAGAATCAGGATGGCTATGAACATGGGACTTTAACTCCTGCCACAACACCCCCACAATGCTTCCCTTCAGGCATCAGAGACCAGAAGAGGGGAAATCTCAGTGCCAGCACCTCCTCCACTGTTTTGTTTCCAGCCTGGCTTTTGGCTCAGGGTCTACAAGGCACAGGTGGGAACAACCCCAGCATCTCCCCTCCCTCCTTGACCTTGTTCGGCAGGTTTGCATCGATCTCATCCTGGAGTCGCTGCTGTACGTCAGGGTGGGTGGCCAGGTTGTATGATATGTAGCTGAGGGTGGAGCTGGTGGTCTCATAGCCAGCAAGGACAAAGACAAGAGCCTGGGCCAGAATCTCCTCATCACTTAATGCTGGAAAAGAGGCATAAAAGCACATGCAAGCAGCTGAAATGTACCATGATTAACCCTTGGGAACTCAGGATCCCGCTCATCAATCTAGGTAATGCTATTCATAACTACTTAACTGTTGGTAAAGGAAACCTCCAGCTAACCCTCTAGGACCACAAAGTGGTGCGTCTGACACTGTTGTACAGCCAGAAGACTGCTGTCAAGATCAGCAGTGTTACATTGCTGTCTTTAAGAGGAGAGTCAGGGTACATGCAGCCTGAGCCTGATTCAGAAAGTCTCTGCTATCTTCTGGGACCATGCCCCTGGGCCAAAAAAATAAGGACATGTGCCAGGAAAAATTAGAGATGAAGAGATGTCCAGCAGCTCCTCTAAGCCATGGGGTGAGCCTTGCACTGCTGAGGGATTAGTGACAGTAGTAACGACAATACAGGATTTAACGCGGGTGCTGAAGTAGCACCCAAGCGCTGCCAGGATGCAGCCGTACAAATACCCTGTCCTGGCACCTCAAAAGTTTACAAGCATCCTACCTTGACTGAGGTTCATGGACTGGGTCTATGTCTTGCCTAGCCATTATTTTCTAAATCTAAGAGTTTACCTAGGATAAGGAACAGAGCTGAGCTCACAGATGAGCAAGGTACCTGCAGCATATGTGCTTTGTGTGCTTTATGAAATACAGCCAACATCACTGGCCTTCAGAGAAGACAAAACAAGATAATAGGAATAAGGAGATATTCACACAAACACACCTCAGAATTTATCCCAGGAAATGGGATATAATAAAATATGGCTGATATGTGATAAGCATCATTATAGCCCCATTACCGAGATCTTGAGTCTCCCGTAGGATTAATGACTAAATTCCTCTCCTACTTCCTTCCTTTAACAACATGAGGAACTACCGTGCTTTCTGCTGAGAGAAGGACAGATCTCAAGACTTACATTTGTATGAGTTGGTCTCAGCAGACTTGGAGCTGTCGTGTGAGATCTGCGAGTCAACCATGAGCTGCAGGAAATCAACCCGGTCCTGGGGAGAAAGAGGGGCAGTCAGAGAAGACATGGGTGAGGAGGAGGCACAAGTCCAGCACAAGTTCCTTGCTGAGACACCTGCTCCATTTGCAGCCCCACCAGCATGCTCACGGCTTCAGTGAACGTTGAGGTTCAGACTGGAGGCCCTCTGTGAACACAGATACTTCCTCCACATGGAATCCCAGGTGGGGTATGCTTCTGGCCCTCCCCAGGTCTGATGAGCCTGGAGCTGTTATGGAGAGTAGGCAATACACCATAGCTTCTGAAGATGCCACCAGGTCCCTCCTGCGCTCAGAAGGAAAGCACAGTGAAGAAGCCACCTGGGCTGGACTCACCATGCCGCTGCCCTTTTCCCGTTCCTTCTTCATTTTTGTGAAGACGTTCATGAAGAAGTCTATGACTGTTGAGGGTAACAGAGTCACATTCATCTTTTCCAACACTGGGATAACGAAGGGGAACATCACTAAGAGGAGATAAAACAACAACATATTTTAGCTCAAAAGGGCCCAAGAAACTAAAAAATGGCACAAAGCATAGAAAGGAGAGGGGTAAACCTGGACTCTGACCCAAAAAAATGCTTTCTGTTGTCTTCAGCGCTCTTTTTATCTAACCGTCCATGGCTGGCATGAAATAGCACATGAGAATCTCCTCCATATATCACTATATGGCCACAATGCCACATGAAGTGCAGCTCTCTGTGACAGAGAAGCTCTCTATCGTGGCTCTGCAAACAGGGTCTCTGCTTGTAGGAGGGTGCTGCAAAGACCCACTTGGCCTATACAAATCTTGACTCTGATTTCCTCAGGAAACTATTTCTATGGATTTGCTAGGGTGAATATAAGGCTGCAAAGTGCTGAGCATCTCCTGTCTGGCAAAGAGGACTCAAAATTACTAAGGGAGCTAGCAGGAAATGCAGGTGGTCACCACCTCTGACATCAATTCAGGGCTGTATGAGGTAAGGTGTGTCATACCTAAGAATACAAACACGGGGTTTAGGAAACTGAATTTGAGAAATTTCTTAATGTTGGCGACAAAGGGGTCACTGGGGTTGCTCATGGAGTCAATATTCACACTGAAAGAAGTGCTGGTCACCACATCCATGCTGTAGGCTCCAAAAATGCTAGGCAGAGAAGAAGAGAGAGTGAATGGGACGAACCCAAACAGAGTAGTGAATAAGAGCCCATCTAGGAACAACCCTTGAGAGAGGGAATATTTTTTTAATCAAGGACTTAGTGCAGAGTTCTAACACAGTAGGTCCTGTCCTGATTTGGCAGTAACCGGCTTTAATATTTTCCCAAGTTTCCCCAGTTGCATTCATCCCCCAGTTTTACTCAGTGTTAAAAACCCAGGTTGTAGTTGGAAAACACTGGACTTCAGTCCAGGGTAACAAAGACTGTGGTCTGATTTCCATCTGTAAAAGAAATTGTAAAAATGACCTGTGACTTGTGGGCATCTGGAAGGGGCCCTACTCCTTCCTGAAAATGCACCCCCAGTAAAATGAAACGGGGAACAGAGCACACCTACCCCATTTGAGCAGAGCAAAGCACAGCAAGCCCACCGCTGAGGAACATACTATGCCCATGACCACTATGGAGTCTGCCTCCGTAGTTGACAAGGGATCTATGCTGCAGCACGGAAAATGCTCTCCAAAACGGCCCCTTCCCCACACTGAATACAAACTCTTTCCTGTAAGACCCACGCAGTTACTTACTCCTTCATGGTCACGAACTCATCATTAGCCACTTTCTTCTCAATGTTTTCCACTAATTTTTCACCATAGTGATTAATGATAGGGAACATCTGAAATGCAAACCAAAGCAGAAGGCACTGTTGACTCTTTCACCTCCACCAAACAAGGCTGGACAATTCCGCACTGCCACCTGCGACTTGCCCAGTCTTTGGCTTGTGGAGGAAGGACAGGCAAGGGGAAAGCATCATTTCCAGGCCTCATTGCCTTCTCTCATCTTAATTATCAGTCCACAGAGCTCATCTGACTATGACTGAACAAGGTTTTCCTTCCAAAACCACATGCAGCTCCCATTCCAGTTAAGCCTTCGCTCAAACTGGGAGTGAATGTGGCTTCCAATCACCTGGGAAATGGGCATCCATGGTCTGAGTGATGTGCTTAGCAAGAAGAAAATACAGGTCCTAGGGCCAAGAGCCTCAGCTTGCAATACATTGTGTGCCATTTCATCCTCCATACCCTTCTCCTGACTCTGTCCCCATGTCCCCATGACGGTAGACAGCCACTGTGTTGCTGAACTGCACCCAACAGCACAGGAGCTAATGGAAGTGGTCTTGATAAATGGGGTGACTTCCCCATCTGAGAGGAAGGTCTGTCCTCAGAGATGGCCCAGTACTCCTCCAGCTATTGATGCAAAGTACCAGTGGCTTCTGCTTTACCTCCTTCAGCTTCCCGCTGGTGAAGGCTGGGGACAGCACAGTACGAATCCTTTTCCACTTCTCATCTTCAGCCACGAAGACGGCCGACTCCAGGATCCCGTTCAGACCAAAGTTCTGCACAGAGAGAATTTTACAGCAACAGGGATACAGTCACACAGGGAGACGGGTGAAGGTTTCCAGTGGCCCCTGAAGTCCTATCAGCACTACCTCAGCCAGCTAACAACAGAAACGGAAAGAAAATTGTAAGAGTCATAAAGGACTTCAGTCCTAGGGTGTATCCGGGCTGATGGCCCAATGTTCCAACCAGAGTGGCCTCTACACCTCCCTGGCAGAGTTTTGTTGTTGGTACCATCAATGAACTGGGGCACAACAGAGAGCAACTACTTGCTGAAGGGCTGAGAGAGACTCAGTAGCACAGAAGTAGAACAGAAACCAAGCAGGAACTCTTTCTTTCTTGCTCAAAGCACACTGCACCAGAGAGAAATGCACAGGACTCGATACCTACCTGGCGATTGGTAAAAATAGTATAGCACTCTTTCACCAGGATGTTTTTGATGAGAATGGGGTCCAAAACAGCCAGCACCGGCTGCCTGCCGTCAAAAATCCTAAGCCAAGAGAAACCAACGCTCAGTCCGTTGCTCACGGTCAGTTGGAGCAAAAGCAGCCCGCCTTGCCTGTGGCCAGAGCCATGCACGCTGACTGCTGGAGCCCAGAGGACTTGGGCCAGCTGAGACCCCTCCTACCAAACAGCCAAAGGGATGAGGCTGAAACTGTTTTATTATGTAGTAAAGCAGGAGAAAGGGAAGGAAAGTGCCAAACACAGACAGTATGAGCATATCTAGCAATCGTCTGTGGCATTAAAGTGCTGCCAAAGCAGTGTGGGTTTAGATAAAACGCAGCTTTTGCCATGACATCGATCCCCTGCGCTTGGGCACTCTGAGCTCCGTTTCTGCAGCTGGTAGCTGGAGTCAATAAATCCACACCGAACAGCCTACCTGTGGGGTAAAGAGATTTCCCTGCCTGGCCTACGAGGCAATCAGAGGGGCAAAACTCATTTATCTCCTCCATTTTTCAGTCAACAGAGACAGCAAAACTTAAAAGCCATAGTGTGGGCTAAAGGGCAGGGAGCCTTGGGCCACAGTCAAGGGAAACCGCCGTCTTCAAGAGGCTTGAGAACATTTAATCTTTCAAAAAAAGTGTGCTGGGTTTCATGAAGACTCTTAGGATTTTTTTTGCACAACGATTTTGCTTCGGTTTGAGAGGTTCTCAACAGAAGCACGATAAGAGGCCCCGGCACAAAACCAGCGCTGTGCAGGGAGCGGGGAAGCGGGTTGAAAGGTAGCTCATGCCTCGGCTCTGGGAGAAGCAGGGAGCAAGATGAAAAGCCCCGCGGCAGCCTGCAGCTTGCTTTCTGCTCAAGACAGACAGAAGAGCGGCTTCAAAGGCACGAGGCTCGGTTTGACACCAAGCAGTGGAGTTTTTTGGGCAGGCTGCATGGTTGGGAAATGATTGGTGCCTTCCCTCCCTAATGCATCTGGAGCTGAGAGATAAAGGGATGGCCGTGCTGATCTGGTGGGTGTCGGAGGATGAGGGGAGCTCCCTGGGCTCTCCGCGGTGCAAGCTTCCCCAGCCCCGAGGTCACTAACACCCTTGTTTAGTTTTTAATGCTCCCAAAGGGGAAAAGAAAAAAGGGTTATTTTCAAAGCTTATGGAAACAAATGACCCCCAAACTGGTCACCATCACCCCAGCCCTGCACTGTACTGAAATCCCAGCAGGAGAGAAGCCTTGGAGAGACGGCTGGAGACTTTCCTGGTGGTGAACCTGGATTTTCCCAAGCTGCCGCTGATGCAATTGCAGTGCTGAGTCATGGTGGCAACATACCTTTTCTCATTCTATTTTGGGGCTGCAGAGCCACCAAAACAGGCAGTTCTGTTCTGCAGAAAGAAACTCACCCCCAGATTTTACCATATTTTTTGAAGCACATCTGATCAAAATTCTGGAGTCCCTGCAAGAGAAGAAAGGAGAAATGAACAGTTTACCAGTGAAGAGTGATCAAAGCAGGTCACAGCTGGCAGTGTGGTGCTTCCCACAGCCCCATCGTAAGTGGCAGAGGTTGGCGGGTGCATGGCAGCTCACGTAGACTCTTAGCGGACATCTGCACGGGAGGGGAAAAAAGAGAGCAGAGAAAGATGAAAAAAACCCCCACTTTCAACTTCCACTAGCCAACCTGAGCTAAAAATGTAATGAAGACAAGGTATGACAGGGTACACAGTTTTAGCATGAGCAGAGTTTGCAGGCAGAACTAGATCCCAGGGTGTCCTTTCATCTTCAGCTCAACAAGTTAGAGCTGCTACTGCCTGGTCCTCAAGAGATCTTCCACTGCAGTTACCGAACTGGAGTAACGATGGCTTTTTTGTTTTGCTTTGTTTCCATTAAGGTTTTTAACTGATGTTACGTGTGAGGATGAAACTTATGGGACACATAACACTCACCATGCATCAGCTAAACCATTAGTAAGAGACCACATGCATGCTGCCAGCCCAGCAAACAAGTGAAAACACCTCTTCCGTTGCAGCTAATACATTCTGTTCTGCATTTGCAGTCAGTTACCTGGGACCGGCTACTACCTAGTTCCTTGGTAAGGTTTGGTAACTTGAGAATATTTGAGGTTTATTTAGAAATCTGTTTGCCTGGCTTAGTCTCAGGCAGGCCCAACAGCTGGTGGCTGGATGGGGCATTGCTGGGACTAATTCAGCCTCTTCATGGCGATGACACAAAGCACAGAGAAACATGCAGTTCTCAGAAATCAGCAGTTTTAGGCACCTCTGCGATATTTTTTTTTCTTTGTTTCCAACAGAACTTCAGCTGCTGGAGAGCAGGTAGAAATCCAGGGAGAAACTAATAACTTAAGTTACAAAGTAGTTGAAGAACACAGCACACCTCATTCGGGTCAACTTGACCCTAAAAGTAATTTTTGTGTTCTCTGTGTGTCCAAAGATCTTCCTACCTGAAAGTGTCTTTTCCACACAACTGAATCAAGGGCAGAAAAAAGAGTTGCTCAAAGGATGGGAAGAACAGCAGCACCAGCTACGAGTAAGAATCTAAGGCAGCTATGGAGCAACAGCTGCCAGTACTCACTTGCCGGTACTCCAGGAAAGTTCCTAAAACAG